TCCCCACTTGTCACCGCCCCCCGCCCTCTAGCCCTGTTCGCTTCTCATCACCTGCTCCCCCTTTCAGGCGTCCTCCCGGACCAGCGGTGCAGTCCCGCCAAAGGAGGAGGAGCTGCGGGCAGCTGTGGAGGTTCTGAGGGGCCACGGCCTGCACTCGGTCCTGGAGGAGTGGTTCATAGAGGTGCTGCAAAATGACCTGCAGGCCAACATCTCCCTCGAGTTCTGGAATGCCCTCTCCCAGCGCGAGAACTGTGCGGACGAGCCCCAGTGCCTTCTGCTGCTCCTCGACGCTTTCGGGTTGCTGGAGAGCCGCCTGGACCCCTACCTGCGCAGCCTAGAGCTCCTGGAGAAATGGACTCGCCTGGGCTTGCTGATGGGCACCGGCGCTCAGGGGCTGCGGGACAAAGTCCATACCACGTTGCGGGGTGTCCTCTTCTTCTCCACTCCCAGGACCTTTCAGGAAATGGTCCAGCGTCTCTATGGGCGCTTCTTGAGAGTCTACATGCAGAGTAAGAGGAAAGGAGAAGGGGGCACAGACCCAGAACTGGAGGGGGACTTGGACAGCAGGTATGCCCGCCGCCGGTACTACCGGCTTCTGCAGAGCCCTCTGTGTGCGGGATGTGGCAGTGATAAGCAGCAGTGTTGGTGCCGCCAGGCGCTGGAGCAGTTCCACCAGCTCAGCCAAGTCCTGTGAGTACTCGCGCCCACACAACCATGCCCGCGTTTTTCCTGACTCCTGCTTGCTCCCCTGGGTCCAGCTGGCCTCTACAGAGAGCTGGTGAGCTGGCTGGGATCTCTGCCACTTGTCCTGTTAGCCATGGACATGGTAGAGGGAGGGTCACCAGGTTCCTTGTGCTATGAATCTAACACCTATTGTCCTTGACACAGGCATGTTTCTGTCATTCACACTAGCCCAGGGCTTCACATTTGCTTGTGCTAAGATCCTATGTGATTCCGAGTCTCCCGCAGAGTTCAGCTGTGCCTTTTGTGGGTTCTGGGGGAGGAATGATGTCCATCCTATCCTGTAATTTCTAAAGGTGGGCTTGCTATTTTGTGTCTGTAGCACAAGTCAGAAGTTAGGCCAGCAGGCTGGGCAAGCAGATGCCTCTCTAGTCCTTTGAAGAGGAAAGGATTTTGTTGTTGTTAGAGCCAGGTCCTGTTTAGGAGCTCTCCACTCTCTTTGGCCACTCAGGACAATTTTTTCCCATTGAATGAAGTGGCAGCAGTGTGGCTGTTAGGCTGAGTCTTTCAGCTGGACCTAGGGAGTGCTCCTGTTGCTGGTAGGTGTCAGGGAGGCCCTGAGGGCTTCTGCTGGGTTCCTCCAGGCAAAAGTTACACAGAAGCTTTCTTTCTCGACTCCTCGTGAGTCCCTTTGTCATCATAGACCAGGTTTTGTACTAACAGCCACCAACAGTGGCATCTGTATGCATGTGGCCAGGGTGGCCGTGCACGAGCTGTTGTTCCAGATTCATTTCTGGGAGATGAGGCCTTGACCCTGAGAGCCACACCTGCTGCTCTGGGGGAAGTTCAGTGTCCCCGCCCAGGCAGGGAGGCCAGCGGGGGAGGGCCGGTGGTGCCTTCCCAGTGCTCTGTCCTCCCAGCATCCCCAGCACTGGGCCTCCCTAGAGGGTCGTGGGGAGGTGTGCGTGGGTGTGGGTGTGGGTGTGTGCTCTGCACACTCCACGGGCAGGGTTCTCCTCCAGGCACAGGCTCAGTCTGCTGGAGCGGGTCAGTGCCGAGGCTGTGACCATCACCCTGCACCAGGTGACCCGGGAGAGGATGGAGGACCGCTGCCGGGGCGAGTACGAGCGCTCCTTCCTGCGCGAGTTCCACAAGGTATCCACCGCCCTCCAGCCGTGTTCCCAGGCACTAGGGAGTGGGTTTTTGGCAAACCTGACACACTGGCTTTAGAAGTGGCCAGACTGTAAGCGTGGGGACTCCAACGAACCAGGTTTCACTGTTGGTCGAGGCTGTCTTGGGGCTAGGTGCCGCCAGTCCTGTGTTCCCTCCTTGGTAACTGCCAGGAAGAGCCCGTGCAGTGCTCAGCAAGGCACATCACGTGGCTGGAGGCGGTACTTAGGTCTGGTGTGTCCCCATTGAGGGACCTCTGATGCCCACGCTGTTGGGAAATGGTCTGGGACTCTCTTCTGGGCTTTGCAGAGTTGTAGAGCAGCTGGGCTGACGTTGGGGGCCATCCAGCCTTCTACTTTCCGGTTGTCCTCCCCATTTCCTAGTATCTACCTCTTGAGGGTGCAGATTAGCTGTGATGGGGTGGTGGTGCAGAGGAGGTGTCCCTGCAGCAGTGGTCTGGAGTGGGCGTGGGCCCGGAGGCCTGGTTAGGGTAACTGTGCGGCCCCCAGGCTGCAGTGTGTCAGGGTGGTCTTCTTGGGGTTGGACGGTCTGTGTGGGGATGTGTGCGTTCTGGGTCCGTGTGGCAGGATCTCTTGTAGATCTACGTGCTCTTGCTTAGAAACGTCCTCACTATACTCTGAGCAGCTGCCCATGGAGGCTGGTTTTGTGTGTGCGTCTGTCTTCTCAGGTGAAGGTGAGCCCATGCTCTGTGCCCTACGTCAGAGCTGCTGATGCAGGTGGAAGGGGCAAGGGGTGTACTGACGGTGGGCCTAGGACGTCCCCTTGGGACCAGTCCCTCTGCTGATTTTGATGTGCTTCTGGTCTCCATGCAGGTGGCCTTGGGGACGGCCCAGGGCCCGGTCGACAGGATGGATATTGGTGCAGCTTGTCCCCACCTCTGTTCTTGGTCAGATTGGGCTCGGGCCCCCCCCACCCCACACACACACCTGTGCTCTCCCAACAGTGGATCGAGAGGGTGGTCGGCTGGCTGGGCAAAGTGTTCCTGCAGGACGGCCCTGCCAGGCCCGCATCCCCTGAGGCCGGCCCCACACTGCGCCGCTGGCGTTGCCACGTGCAGAGGTTCTTCTACCGCATGTACGCCGGCCTGCGCATCGAAGAGCTCTTCAGCATCATCCGAGGTCGGCCCTGCCCACCTTCCCTGTGCCCTGGCCCTGGCCCTGGCCCTGCAGCTCTTGAGGGTGGTGAGGGGCATCTGGGGCTGTGTTGTCTGGAGCAGAGCTGCTCCCCCAACCAGTGTCTGAATCAGGGCAGGTATATGTTGGGGTGCGGGATGTTGCTTCTGGTGTCTACCTCCTGCTCCCCCCATCCTCACATCCCTGCTTTGGACTGGCTGTTTGGTGCTGTCTGCCCCATAGGGCGGTTGCAGTCAAACATGTGGGCACGTGAAGGCATAAGGGCGACTTGTGGTGTCCAGCACGTGTTCCTCGTCTCAGGCATGGGCAT